AAAGTACAGCCAGAACAAACCCTGAAGAGTATGTGTGTTTACTCCACATAGCTTGAGAGGTTGGGATGCCATGAGGTATCTCCAAGGTAGGCTGTCTGAAGCCTTTCTGCAAGATAACTCTACAGAAGACACACACGAAGGGCACAGGCAGGATGAAGAAATGCTGCATTTATGATCTTCATAAACATCATTCTTTCAATGAAGTGTGGATCTAGAGAAGGTGCACAGTACCTTCACAGGTAGTAGCTTTAAATAGCGTAAAATTGCTGATTGATTACAAAACCATGGAAATACTAAATATGGAAAATAGACCTACATTTTGAAAGCACTTTGACCAGAATAGCTACATAGAAACCTGGGACTCAGGAACACCTCTGAGCTACTGGACCCAGACAGGAGTCTTGGCTCCCTACCCCGAAATATTGGTTTCCTCAAACAAGATATACTGGCAGTTCAACTGGTTAAGTGGCAAAATGTGCTTCAAACAATCCAGAAGGTCCAGGAACTTTTCTGAACTTGTAGAACAGGCACTACTGGCTGAATCTCAATGGAGTCATTGAATGTTGGGTTGTGCTTGTGTAGATTCTAAACTCAAGTTGCTGTTATATAAAGCTATCAAGAGGAGGCACCCAACTTCAACAGTCCTTCCAGAAAGGACAGCAAAAGACAGAGCTAGGACCCAGCAGCCTTGAATGAGATATGCCAGCTCAAAGTACATTTTCAGCAGCCACTGCAGGTAGACTTCTGCTCCTCGTTCAGAGAAGGTCGTAACAACAACACTCTTCATGTGGGTCAACCTCCTGTTCTGATTTGGTATCAAGTGCCTCAATTGTTTCAGGCAACTAGAGTTTGCATCTATCTACAAGTCATTCTTTAGCTTTACAAAACAGTTTGTGCTCCACACATTTTCTTATCTGCACTGGTCATGGTTTAAGCTCAGGCGGGAACTAAGCACCACATGGCCACTTGCTCACTGCTCCCTCCTGGTGGGATAGGGAGAGAAAATATATCAAAAAGCTCATGGGTCGAGACAAGAATAAGGAGGGATCAGTCATCAGTTATGGTCACAGGTAAAACAGGTTCAACTTGGGGAAAAAGCAATTTAAATTGTTACCAATCAAATCAGAGTAGGATAATAAGAAATAAAACCAAACACTAAAAACACCTTCCCCCCGATCCTTTCCTTCTTCCTGGGCTCAACTTAGCTCCCAATTTCTCTCTCTTCTCCCCTCAGCAGCACAGGGGGATAAGGAATGGAAGTTGCAGTCAGTTCATCACATGTTGTTTCTGCTGCTCCTTCCTCCTTAGGAGGAGGATCTTCACACATCCCTGCTCCAGCGTGGGGTCCCTCCGATGGAGACAGTCCTTCATGAACCTCTCCAACGTGAGTCCTTCCCATGGGATGCAGCTCTTCATGAACTGCTCCAGCGTGGGTCCCTCATACGGGCTGCAGACCTTCATGAACAGACTGCACCAGCACAGGCTTCCCACAGAGTCACGGCCTTCTTCGGGCGCTCCAGCGTGGGGTTCTCCACAGCTTCATGTGGATCTCTGCTCCACCGTTAATCTCCATGAGTTGCAGGGGGCAGCTTGCCATCTCACTATGGGCTGAAGGTGAATCTCAGCTCCAGCACACCTCCTCCCTCTCCATCTTCACTGACCTTGGTATCTGCAGAGTTGTTTCTCTCACATCCCACTCCTCTCTCCGCTGCAGGTCCCACAGCAGTGGTGTTTTTTTTTCCCTTCGTAACTATGTTATTGCAGAGGCACTACTACAGCCGCTGATGGGCTCAGCCTTGGCCAGAGGCAGGTCTGACTTGGAGCCGGGGATGCTTGTCGCAGCTCCTCACAGGAGCCACCCGTGCAGCCCCTACCCACTACCAAAACCCCACCACATAAAACCAATACAGCATTACACGCACTCCTTGGCACAGGGAAACGAAAGACATGGTAATTTAAGCCAAGAAAATCATCTATGCTCTAAAAAGGAGAATGTGCTCTCCTTCAGGGCACAAGTTGACTCTCAAAGTGGAACACAGGCAGTTCACAACATTTTTACCGAGTACGTAAGGTGAGGCCAGGTCATCCGGGGTGTCAGTGCTGTCATCCTTGTTTTACATCCCTGCACTACGTTCTCATAGCACAACATTCACAGCGCCACAGACTTTCTTGTTAAAGGCCTCATTTTGCATGGATGAGGTTTTAGATCCTGCTGTAACAAATATTGAAAATGTAGAATTATAGCAAAATTTGAATGTGAATTATTATATCCTCAACATCCTCATTGCTTCATACGTCCAGGAAGGTAGTAGAATGTTGTGTTTCCCATAATATTTTTTGGTTTGCACTCCTCAATCTAGTGGGGGATGAAGTAGCAGCAAGAAACTAAATTTATTATCACAATTATAAACTATTATTGATAAAACAATACTGACAATCCTGGTTACATAAACAATTTTGCTAGACAGAGCAGAGGTTAGCACCTGTCGTGGGTTAGGCCACCAGACCTGCCCCCCCCACACTTCAAACCATAACAGCACCGTAAGATTATCAAATTAAAATGGTTTCCTTCTCCATTGTGAGACTGAAATACATAGGGATTTCAGGCTTCAAAACACAGTCTTGTCAGAGACTTAGACACTATAACGTTAAGCTTCAAACAGTTAAGTACTTCAAGCAGCTGCAAAATTGCCTCACTCTAACATACATTTATCAATAGATAACAATTCCTGCATATATAACATATTTTAATTCTCATCACATTGTAATAAAAGGCTTTATCGTAGGAAATACGGTCAATTCAGCCACATGCTAATATTAGTCAGTGATGGACAAAGCTGTTCTCATCATTTTGATCTGAATACACTGGGCCATCATTCTGCTCCAACTGAATTTTGTGTGAGCTGCAGTAACGTAACTCAGAGCTTATAAAACCAGTACCAGTTAAAAGCAAAACTCCAGTATGCGTTCTGTGGCTGGCCCACTGGCACAGGGACAAAGAACTTTGCTGCAAGACAAGCAATCTCAGCAAGAGAACTAGTATGGGTGCCAGAGCTAAGTAGAGAATGCTACACATAGTGTTTCTAGTCTGTGCAAAAACAAAAGCACATTGGGTGTCTCACACTTTCTTTTACTAAAATCCAACAGTTTACTAAAAGTGACCAATAATAACACTTGCTGAGGGCTAATCTGCAAATTCTTGTAAACCAGTGTATACATGCACTTAAGCCTTTGTTGTTAAACATTGACAAAATGTTTAACCACGAGGATTGCAATTAGGAGAGACAACCAGATCTGAAGATAGACTGAAAATAGCAATAAATACCATTTGTTCTAAACAGCATGCAACATATTCTGCTACTGTCTCTTTAATGTAATTGAAGCTTATAAACAAAATACACAAAAAAAGACAGCTAAGTTGGTTTATTGTTTAGGACTATAAAGCTTAAACATATCCACAAACATCTACTACTCTCTTATCTGTTTCTGGAACTGAAAGAAGAAAACGAGAGCAAGATTGGCTCAGAATTTCATTCATCTCATTACCCAACTTATTTGCAATATCTGATTCTGCACAATTCGACAATTTGAAGTTATTACTTTAAAAAAAAAAAATCAGAAAAACAAATTCCAGAGATACGACTTACTGGTACACAATTAGCAGTTCTCGGAAACAGAACAGCAGAAGGCAACAAAACATACTGCCCAAAAATACCAAAAAAGCTCACAGTAATCAAGTTATTTTACAGAAGAAAAGAAATTTTATTAGACACTTGACATGAAAGACTCTAGAAGTCAGCCCCTCAAGACAGAGAAATGAACCTTTGTAAACATCTCAGTTAATACAACTAATTAAATCAGACATACGAGTTTTCATAAAGCCATCTAAACGTCTGTCAGGACACGGCTAGGAGTAACTGATCAAACCATCAGACCTAGATTGAGGACCACCTCAAACCCAAAGGGAGTGACAAGTGACTGTGCTGTCCTAGGAGCGGACAAGAAACCACAGAAACTCCAAACTGTGCCAAATTTACCTGTTACCTGCCCACCTGCTCCTCTAAAGAAGACCATACTGATACACCTGTTCCCCTGTTAGGTGCTACCTCTGTGCAGTCATGCTGACAGAAGAGTCAGGACATTCTACCTATTCTCCTCTGCTTGCTTGAGCTGGGAACAGAGATATCATTTGCTCCTGCCTGTGCCCAGGCAAAGCAGTCCAGTGGCAGCAGACACCTGGACATGGAAGTATAAGAACCCCTCAGAATCAAGGCCCACACAGACAAAGAGCCCTTCTTTAGCCACAGCCAGCAGTTGGATATTGTCAAAAGAGTAACAAAACAGGGCACGAAAGAATCATCCTGCTACTGGCATATTACAATAGCTTCTAGTGCTAGTGGGACTTCTTGAACCTCACTTTGTACCCACCAGGATGAACAGCATCAAAATGACGCAACATGATCTCCATGTATACTTTTCTACCCCTTCCACCTTCAAGCATACAACTTCCCTTGAAGAAACCCTAACGATAAAAGCAGTTGAACTGTCTTTGTGACTTCAACTTTGGTTTAATAGATCTAGTACTGGAGAGATATTAACTAGACCTTGTCAAAACTATGCAGGTCAAACATGCCTTGTCACATATTGTGCTTAAGTGGAATATAACAAAATAAATATTCACTATGTAGACAAAGGTTGCATAGAGGTCTGCATTAGGGAACAGACACCCCCTCGGAACCACACTTAACTTTGAATAGTGCTTTGCTCTATTGATACTCCTGATATGGCTCTCAGTCAAGTCAGGTGATTCTCAAGATAAAGAAGGGTCACAGACTCACAACTTTATTTCCAGAAGGAAATTTCTGGGAATAGTAACCCAAGACAGAAATCCAGGCCCCTTCAGCAAAAATCGGGTTCACGATCCAACAAAAAAAGAGCAATTCCAAAACACAGATAGGACAGCTTTTTACAAAAGAGGCATTGCATTTACATGAACTTACAGGAAGAGTGGATACTCGGAAAGCTTTTTCTGCCTTCAGACACCAGATCTGGATCACCTGTGCAGTGCATTTCAGAGTTCATTACTCCATCTGGAAAGCAGCGGTAAAAGAAATCGGGACGCGGTCTACAAAAAACACCATGGATATTAAAAATACAAAAGCTGTAGTAACAAACAAACCTCAAAGTGATTATTAAATGTACTGCTTATTACATACAGAGTTCATTCCCTCCTGCCTTAACATAGCAACAGAAATCAAAGAATCATTTAGGTTGGAAAACACCCTTAAGATCATAGAGTTCAGCAGTAAATCTAACACTGCCAAGTCTACCTCTAAACCCTCAACTCAAGATCACTTTTTTGCAGGCAGGTTCTCTCAGGGAAGCTTCCAGCACAGCATGTTCTGAAAATGAACATGCAGGGTTACTCTTGCCTAGAGCAATCAATCTTGCACAGCGCTTCCAGGGACAGAGCAACATAGCGTAGCAACCCCACAAAGTCGCACAAGTCTTGCCGACACATCTAGCTGAGAACAGGACTACCACTTAGGCTACAAGATTGGCACCAAAACAACCACAAAATTCTAATGCCAGCGTCTCTAACTGCATTGAACAAACCTCCAAGTTTCCTTTGGACCTGCTCTGAGTTGAACGATAGCACACAGGTTTGACTGGTGTCCTACTGATCCTGAGCTAATAAATCATGTAGAGAAGCAAGGGGAATGACCACAGATTCAGAGACGAGCTGACAGAGCAACTAGCTGGCTTGAGGCGTAGGGAAAATGAGCTCATGTCTGCCTGAAGAAGATGGTGCAGACATTCTTAATTATATTTCAAAAGGACTCTTACAATAAAAGTGCCAAATACCATTACAGTTAGGACATCAGTACTGTAGCAGAGAGGGTTCATCAGAAACCAAGCACAAATACCACTTCCTCAATGCTGCAAAACAGGTGAACAGCAAACGCAGCTATGGACTCTATTAAATAGGGTATGAGTTCAAGTCAAATGTATATTTGTGAGCAGAAATTATTCAAAATTTTAATAAAGAGCCAAAATACCTAAAAAAAAAGCTTTCCAGAGTTTTGTTTGTAAGTATTTCTACATGCCCTTCATTCAAATTGATGCTTTCCTAAAAGAATGGCCTACCTAGGAGTACACTTATTGCTTAGCTCCAAGGTTTGTTCCACCATGGATCTTGATGTTACCTGCAAACACCACATTCAGTAACATGCTTCATGCAAAATGCAGGCACTGGGTTATACAGGCACACAAGTGACTTCTGTTTCATCAGACCAGTGGCACTGGCATCTGAACTCCCACATGCTGTGACTCTTCCCTTCTGTGTTGCCAATTAACGAACTGATTTCAGCTCACACCTTTCCTTTCAAACTCCTCGTTTGTCTGGATCCGCCAACCAGTCAAACAAATAACAAAACACAAGGGCATACGTCCCTACCACAGTTGGATGCCACATAATGAAGTTGTACAACACCTGCACCAGGGACAGGACAGCTTCACAGGGGCCTGTTCTAATTCAATGTGCTTTGGAGCAGCAGCTCTCTTTTTATTAAAATGTACTGTATTTGTCAATGTGTCTTCGTTCCTCTCAACAGTCAAAGCTATCATTTATAACATGACAAGACTTACCTTCCCACTATTAATTTAATAGTATTTGTGCAGACGCCATTCAGAGCTAGAGCCAAGGAAACAGCTACAAAACAGAATGAACAAACAGAACAATAATAACCTAAATACCAAGCTATAAATTGCAGCATTACAGTATTTGATTTACAGACTGAAACCTTCACCGAACTGAAAATTGAATGATCTTTGCAGCTTACTGTTTTTCTTATTACCCAGACTAAGGACAGACCTCAGAGCATTATAATAATCACTAACTTTGTTCTGCTTTTACTCTCAAGAAGTCTTATTTCCTTCATGCAAAGACAGTTTTCCTAACATGTAATTTGCACTGGCATAAATCATCAGATGGAAACAATTATTAGAGAATCAAGTACTGCGATTATCAGTTTTGTAATTTACTAGATGAAAATCTTATGCTCGTTGGGTCAAGGAGAACTCCCATATAGACCTATACATAAGATATATATACACATATGTATGTGTGTGTTCGTGTGTGTATATACATGTACCACACAATTAAACAGTCCTCTTTCAGGCTAAAGAATTGTCTTTTGGCTAAAACTAGAATTGGATGATATTTTTATTTTAAAAGGATGTGGATGTTACGACTAAAAGTCTTGACATTATCCCCTTATGTTTCCTCCCAGGATGAACCAATTTTCCTAATAAAATTAGAGTAATAAACAGGAACTGTCATACTAGGTATGACTGAATCATCTGTTTTATTTGTACTTGCAAGCCGAGTCCCTAGACTTTAAGAACCTCATCTAAAGCCTGTGGAGATCTCTGTCTTCATTTCAGTGGCACTTGGATCCAGCGCATACACTCCTTTTGGATTAAAACTGATTAAATGTTGCAGTCCACAGCTCCCTGTTACAACACACGAGCGACTGAATTTTATTTCCCATCAGAAAAAAAAAAAACTATCAGGCAAATCTCTGATTTCCAGCAGAACAGTTACAGTAATATAACTTTTGATTATGACAGCTACATGAGCTATTTTCTCATTGGACCGCTGCCCCAGATGCTGCACTTCAGCAGCACTCATCCTGTCTCCATAAAATCTTTGCCCGAGGATATTATAGATCATAAAAATGTGTGTTATAGGATCTATTTTTCTTTAAGTTAAAAAAAAAAGGTCGTCCATCAAAGCGAAAACAAGGGTTTTCTCAGACCATAGCAACAGCTGCCAGTAAAAATAAAAGAACAAGTCAGTCCTTGAAACACTGATATTGTTTCAAAACAGTTTTCCAGCTTCAACACTCGTGTTCACAGTGACCACTCAATCTCACACCCTTTTTTCCCCTCTCAATTTTTTCTCTTAGTTATTTATGGTGATTGCGTGGTGAACCAAAATTTTCCAGAGCCAAATGCATACGACCAGCACTACATTCCGCTTTTTAAAAAACGGGAGATGCAGAGACATCTGCTTTCTGACACGTGCAGTGAAGTTCACCCTTTTCATTGAGCTTTGTCTTGATTGTTCATTGCATACCTGAGCGAGCCGTGCTTCCACTGCTGCACATGCCTTACAATGGCAACCCAAGTATCAAATGTAAGCTGATAAACAAACTGCATTTGCTCTCATTGTGTTCCCCTTAGGAAAGGCTCACACTGCCCACCAAAAGTCATATAATCTAAGTCAGTAGAGAGGTGTAGGTACTTCCAGGGGAAGGATTAAGGGCACCTACATTAGGAAGCTAACTACTCCTTACCCTAGACGCACTGAATCACCTTCTTTATATTACTGGCTATATGAGGGGCAAAGTATTTTCATATCCTTTTAACCTTTGATTCTTCTACGTATGATGCCTAAAGAAAGTCACCTTTTGGGGGACTTCCTGATCATTCATCATGAACATTATGTGCCAGATCTCAGCAAAGCTCTGCCACAGTTAATGAATCTTCACAAAAGCTTCACGTCACCAGACACATTAACATCCTGAATTGTAATAATGTACAGTACACTTGAATATAATGAAGTCACAAGAAGTTCCACACGTATAGCACATACTGAACAAGGATGCCCTGCAGAACCGAGCATAAAGGCTGGGCTTTCCTTAAAGTCTGGGTAGCAAGGAGAATACTGGGAAGCTGGCAAGTTTTCTCCTGGACATTACAGAGGAAATCGTGACAGAAGGCAAGAACAGCAGAAAAAACAAGTTTTCTCCTGGACATTACAGAGGAAATCATGACAGAAGGCAAGAACAGCAGAAAACCTGAATGTCTCTTTAGAGCAAAGAGGTGAGAATAAGTGATGGATAAACTAATCCAAAGCTCTTTCCATCTTAAACAACAGAAAGTAAAACTCAGAACCGTGACTGTATGCATTTTATGAACCACAGTTATTTCTACTGAATGGACTTGTCAGTAAATTCTCACTATAAGACATTCCAGAACTTACTACAAATGACTGGCAGCAGCCAAAACAAAACTAGGGTCTTTTCACACTTGTGTTAGAGCAACTGGAGAAAGAACAAGCTATGAGAACTCAGACTTGTCTGGAAAAAAGTTTCAAAGGCAGATACACAGTGCCATTTACACTCTACCTAGCTAAGGCAAGGTTGAGTATAGGTTTGACCTTACAATCCAAGGGCTGACAAATTAAAGTGTAAATTAGCCAGTAAAACAGAATTTCAGAATCAGGCACTTTTCAAACACACTGCCAACAACAACATTTGCAGTTCTTATTGCTTCGAAGTATCCTCTGCCAGTGAAAGGGCGTTAGTCAATTTTGGTCTCTGGCAATATCTATGTAAAAAGGATCTGGGCATATATCACTAAACGATTTCAAAAGATAAGGACAGCCAGAATTAGCAGGAACAGTTTGAGACTTACCATCCTCATTGTCTACCTGTTCCTCTGCTCAAAGTTGCTGCCTACAACTGTAACGAGATCTCACCCAAAATACAGCCATAGCAGTTCACAGTCCGGCATTAAGTGCACATCTAACTCCACTGGAAGTTTAAGATGAAACATCAGCTTTTGATTAGAAAAGCCGAGCCATGAGCATGGATTTTGCAACAGGGAACAGTAAACTCCAGGAGAAGGTCAAAGAAGACAATGAGAGAAGTAATTTCCTACACTAAGCAGCTGAGTCTCATAGGACTTTCCAGTCCTTAATTTAGAATAGCTGCAACTATAAATAGGAGGCAAGTAAACAGATTGGCTCTGACAGAAAAATATACATCTGAACAGTCTCTAAGGTGGTCTTGTCTTTGCTGATCAAATTCTGGCCCTTGCTAGCTGTTTTGTGGAATTAAGGCACAGAATTTGTACATTTAGAAACATACATAAAAACAAAGGCTTTCATGAGATGGCTTTCAACTGTAACTGCACTGAAAACTAATGAAATGGACTGTAATGGAGAGAGGTTTTCTTCAAGACTTAGACTACAATTGAAATCAATCTCGGAGCACAATCACACATTTTCCATCTCGAAGTATGACATTACATACATTACCTAAGAAAGCCTCTTTAATTTCAGTCTTGTCTGTTCGCCGGATTATTTTCACCACAAAAATGACTGCTAGTGGCGTAAGGAAGGAAATTGCCTGTAAGAGATAACAAATACCATGTGAGAGCAACAATTCCTTTTCAGTCCAACCGACTAATAATTAGTTCCAGTTAGCTCCATTTAAACTGGAAGGCTGAATAATCTTTATCAAACTCCTAACCTTAAGCAAAGTGGGATGATTTGTCTTTTCAACTACACGGCAACAAATACATTAAAACTGTAATATAACTGTGGATTATAATTGATTTGTAATTGCCTGGAGCTGCATTTAAAATGCCAGCTGCATAAATGAAAAAGGAACAGTCTATAAGGTCCACAAAATTCATAGACCAATCCATACAGATCTTGTACACTTTTTCCACACTAAGCATTGCTCCAGAAGGCAGCCCATCCAGGCTGTGCCCTCAGTAAGACTTTATGCAACATAACAGACTCCAGTACCAACTTCCTGACATTTTAAAATGCTCTTTGTCAATCTTGTTTTCTTTTTAACTGTCATTCCTGAATATATTGAGAATCACAGAATGTCAGGGATTGGAAGGGACCTCAAAGGATCATCTAGTCCAATCCCCCTGCCAGAGAAGATCATGTCTTTAGGATTCTTTCATTTACAAGCATCTGGATGTGGAGCAAACTGCTTGATTTTGTTCAAAAACAGAACAACACCACCTGAACATCTACAAGTGCACTCGTTGGTTAAGCAGAACTATATTCTTTTATTGTCAGTGCTGTAGGACAGGATTCCTCCTACAAAGAACCTGAAATGGCATCTGCACATCAATGCACATGCTTGATTGCCACAAACATCTCCGCTATGATAGAGCAATTTGGACTATGGTTGATGATTCACTGCAAATGTGCCAGTTATTCCAAAAGCATCCTACTTCGTGCAGGGTCTGTACACTGCAGTCTGTCCTCCCAGAGCAGGTATTTATTGTCTGTTTCCAGAGAGACTCATCAGTTTCTCCCAAGCACAATACCAGGGAGTTTTTCGTTAGTAGCTTGTCATGGAAAGTATGATTTTGTTCCCAACTGGTCCTTCCATCATCCCTTCTGTCTCGGACATTCAATTGCAGAGGTAAAAGGAGACTTGTAGGCAAGGTAGTCCATTTATGCTTCTTGCTAGTTCTGGTCTAAGTTAACCAATTCCTTTCTGGAATCTACAAATCTCTTCACAATCACATTTCTTCAAAAACCAATCGAGGTCTTTCAAAAGCATTTATTCTCTTGAAGAAAAGTGAAAAAGACTTTTTTTAAACAAGCTGAAAATTAAGCTGTATACAGAACAAAGGGCACCAGGGTTTAAGTCAGATTATGCTGCCTTTACTGAGGCTGAACAGTGCCTTACTTCTTAAACAGCCCCACTGAAATAAAAAACAGAATAGACAAGCTATGACAAAAGATGTGTTACACTTCTTTTTATACTACAGATAATCCCAGTCCTCATTTTATGCTTTCAGAATATCTGAGTAAGGAACAACATGAAAATGCACTATATTTGTTATTTTGGTAGTGCATCTTGGACCAGATTTCCCCCACCTGCCTCTGGAAAATATTATCTAACTCAAAAAGACGCACCATTTCCACTTATAAATCCCTCTGTCTACAGTGTGTGAGATTGAAGTTAGGATGCCAGTGTCATGTTACCGCTCCAGAAACGTTCACTTCTCTCTATCCTCAGCAATAGTTTAATTTCTGCTTTCAGACACAAAAAGTGAAATAAAAAAAAGGTTGAAGCAAAACCTAGAATTATTGGTTTCATGCTAAAAAGTAAGGATTGCAAGCAGGAAAGAAAAGAAGAAAGATATCTGCATTCCATTGTTGAAGAACATGTAGAAATATAGCCAGACTGACAGGCTTATAGTGGTAGTTTAATAGAGTTAGAAATCTTTTGAACAAGCAGGAGCAGCAGAAAATATCAACACAGAATAGAATTCAAGTGGCAGCTTGTTCCAAACCACTTCACAATCAATCTTCAGAAACCTAGTAAAACTGCAGATTTCCTCATATTTCACAAGCATATGGATTTTTGAGAGAGATGAAGAACTATTCATGTTTGCAGTACATTGCTGTTCCTTACACAAAAGCATTAGCTGAAAGCGTTTTTTTATTCTGCAGCAAAATGTACATATAAAGAAAGTCTGGCTTGCTAAAGACTCCTTTTTCTGTATTTTGCAAAAAGATTCTGTATGGCTCATATCCATAACAGATTTGGCAACAGTCTAATGAGCAACATTCTCCTCAGATGCATCTCGGTAATGTTTTCTTTTCCAGCAGTGAAATATTCCAATATTGCCTTGCTTTTGTGAAACAGGAACAAAAACCCTCTCGTTCATTATTCATCCTGGCAAGCCAGAGATATGCTAAAGTTATAGGGACTCCCACATACTTCCAGTTGACAGTTAAAGTTGACAGTACCTTACGCTTTCCAAGACAAGAAATATCCACTGATCACTGATAGAGACACAGAACAAGGCACAGGTCTTTCCAGTCCTTGTGTCTTGCTTGCTACCCATACAGGTCAGCTTTGTCTAATTTGGACCTGGGTTTGGATTATTCACAACATTTCTCTTGAATTCAAATCTCTCAGCATATAAAATAATCCAGCAGTTCATAAATTCCTAGAGATTGCTTTCTGATAAGCCATAGCCATATGTTTCAATATCAGAGTACAACACTAGTGGCAATAAATTCTTTACATGATGAAAGCTTGTGATCAGTGCTAGAGTTGGATTTTTCTTCTTTTCAAATAAAGACATAAGAAAACATATTTAGAAATTATCTACATTTCTTAATTTAAGAAGCTGTCCTGTCCACTGAATTACTGAGATGACAACGGTCTGAGCCAGAAAGAGGGTACAGACTATACAAATGTTACTGACTCAGAGCTGCCTGGAAGTTCCACCTGCCATGAGGAACACCAAAAGCTGGCTCTATGGGAAGTGATTAACTGGGAAACGTAGTACACTTATGTCCCAGAATTGTGCTTCCCAGTGGCTACAGTCTAGAGATCAGAGGATGGACTAATGATTATCCCAACTGGTTTCAAAAATAGTTTCACCACTGCAGCAAACCCCTGTACAAAGATTCACTATTGGTTCTTGAACTCTTCAGTTATAATCCGAGATCAGGGAAACCATGTAGCAAGGTAACGCTCAGCATAAGGAAAAACAGTAAAATTAAACTCAGAGTCCTTCCTAGTGCAACAATTTAATGTTTGGTTTAGTGGGGTTTTTTTTGTGGTTTTTATACAGCTGTCTTCCATTTCAGTAAAAACATACATTTTCACCCATCCAGGCTGAAAAAGTCCTTAATAGAGCTTCTTCTTAATGCAATATAAACAATATGTTGGTGAATTTAAAATCAGGTCTTCTGTCTTAAAAAGCTGAGATATATTGTCGCTTCATGAATAAGAAGCACCTTAAAGTTGTTCCTTAATAAGAAGCACCTTAAAGTTGTTCCTTAATTAATTTAAAAGTTTCCATAACTGAAGGCCTGAACCTTTTAAAAAAATAAATAATTGCAGACAAATTACATAGTTGATTTGCATTTATTCTGAATTCAAGCCTTAATCTGACAGTAAAAACCTGACTTCATGGGAGACACAGGAAAAGATACTTTGCCATAAGTGTACTAGGACTTGACCTCATCTGCCCTGCCCGTTCCTGCAAAATCTCCACTTTGACCAAGGAAGCTTTTGCATAGATGGAGCTTGTTTTAATAGCCTGAACTATATCCGTAATTTCTTAGTGTTTCTGTAGTGGTCAACCTTACTGCACTCATATTGGCGGATATTACAATTGTTAATCATTGCTAGTGAGGGTTATCGAAACCATGAATTTTGATAACCAGACAAAACATCAAAATCAGACAGCCAGTCTGCACATCAACATGAGTTGTGCTGGGAAGAGCCAAAGGAATGGTGACAGCAGAGCAGCTCCAGGGTACCCTTGTTGGCAGAAGCTGAAACAAAGGTTTTGTCTACATGGAGAAAAAAAGCATTTGGAGGCAAGTATCTCAGTGCCTAACATGCCTTAAACAAATCGGATTTCAAAATTTAAGCCCTTAACCTAATAAGAGCATGGCAAGGTTTTGTCAGGTCACCCAAGCAGCTAATTCAAAAAGCTTGTCTAATCACTTCTACAGCATCTCTCTACGTTAACACTAGCTTAAATCTTAAATTGTAAAATCAACATTCATAAATTCAGTCAACTGCTAATGCTGATTTTTAGGAACTCCTCACGATTTCCTACATTTTGCCATTTTGGACATCCTTGGTTTGGAAAACAACTGTCATTAGAATTAAAGGAACCTTCTGAAAGGTTTCCTACTGCTTATCAAATGAAAGTGTACTTAGCTTACAGCCATCAAATGACCAATAAACCTTTAGTACTTACAAACATAAGACGTGTGGGTATGTTGTCTGTTTGCACCAAAGGATTTTTATACAGCCAGATCTCTTCTGGCTGGATAACCCGCTGGAATGGATCCAAAAATTCTGTAAAACTGAAAATAAGAATTAAAGATACAATTTTTTCAAATTTAAAATTATTACTAAAAAACCCAGAAAGAGTCCTGCTGATTTAAAACTGCCCCAAAGTTAATTATGGTACAACATGCATGAATTATCCTTGTGATATATTGCTATCCTACCTCACTGTTTTTAAGTAAATCAATCCTCATTAATACACCCTTAGGAAAATGATTTTTAAAAGTCTATATTCTACAACTTTAAAAAAGTTCCATAAACTTTGCCATGGAGAATAAATCGTCATTTTATTTTTTTGTAGGAAAAGTGTGCAAAGAATATTCTGGGATGAGAAAAAACACGCAGCAGATGTTTTACACTGATGAAATTATATACCAGATATCAAATACAAAATGTGTCTTTCAAATGTCAAGATCCAGACTTGGAAGTATGACAGTTGTATTTGCAGGATCACAAAGCACATAGAAAGAACCAGCCCAGACAATTCCTTCTACTGATAGAAAGGATAGATAACTTTAGAAAATATCTTAAAAAAAGAGACTTACTCCTGAAACAGGATGGGCTCGTAGAAACATATTTTCTCTTTTTTCAGATTGCCAGTATTTTGATTTGGTTCTCAAGCTTAAGAAGAATCTAGCTCTACCAGAAATGTCTCATTCTACCAAAACTGACTGTTTTAATTTAATTCTCATGTCATTTAGCTCTCAAAAAAAAAAAAAACCAAAACACCAAATAATAAAAAACTCTCACGGTTTTGTAATTACGTTATTTTGAAATGAAGGGCATCAAAATAAAATGTTGAGGTTACATTGTTCTATATAAAGTAAATTATTTCTGCTGGTATCTTTTGTCCAGCACTGAAAGAAGAAGCAGGAATTGTGATCTTTGACTGCAGTAAGAAGTTTTAAAAGGTTCTTGGGACTACATAAATTGTCTCTCCTCATTGAAACGATACTCCTTTTTCCACGGAGTTCTTCACTGTCCTTCAACTTTTCTTAGCTTTGAAGTTATATCAGAATTCCTGGGAAGTTTTGTCTTGATTTTATATTACTCATTTCAGGGCTAGTTTACCTGGACTAAAAGAATGGCTGCTGAGAGAAGACAGAGGGACCAGTTTTCTGCAGATTGGTCTTAACTAATAAGCCAGAACACAGAGGTGTGGTGGCCCAAAGCTTTTTTTACTGTAAATTTCCCAAAGCCAAAGACTTTAAACCCCTACAAAACCAGCTTTTATACAAGTAACAGCTACAACAATTGACTCTGTAAATAGAAAAAGCTCAACGCAATTTGTGAAGCAGAGTAAAGTTAAACCATATGCATGCAATTCCCCCCAGCAAAACGAGTCCTCGAATCTAGCCAGGTCAGAGATTTCCTAAACAACGACAAGCTTTATCCACTCTTCTAGGTCTTAGGAAATCCTTTTTATCACTTCTGAGGATTGACCAGCCGTTCTTCGTTTTCTCACTGCAGTCGATGATCTCTGCATTAGCTACAGTCTCCCATGTCCCCAGCACACACTACAACAGAGCACACATTCAGACTCCCACTAGACAGAAGGCACAAAACTCTCTGTCTACTCCAAAGTGCCCAACTGACCTCTTCTTCCTAAAGGAAAACAACAAAATCTGAGGACAAAACAAGCCAAACACAGTCTTGTCACTTGTACCAATAGTTATGTTTCCCCTACAGACCTACACAGACAATCAGATTCTTCTGGAAACTTAAGGAGTCTAGTACTGCAAGGAGAATATTTACTGTTATGCTCTGCTCTTCAAACCCAGTCTGACCCTGCTCTCCAAAGAAGGTGCACGGTGAATTTCAGAAGTGTCAAAACACTTTGTCTCAGTGTTGTCAAAATGAAAATTTAGATCTTCTTTAAGTTTAATAAACAATGGCTTGCGCAAAACATGAAGGAGGGAAACCTTTCTAAGGAAAACCATTTCCAGGAAATGAAACACCCCAAAAAAATTCATTTTCCAATTCTTCTCTTCAACTAGAAAAATAAAAGTTGATTTCTAGACAACGCAAGCAACTTTATTTCCAAATTTCAACTGAAGTCCTAAAGCATGTAATTTTTATTTTCAGTCTTTCAAGATATTGACAACAGCTGGGAGCAATTAACTGCTGGTTGAAAGGGTTCAGTTGCCAAGTAAAGTCACAAGAGCGGGTATGACACTCAACACATGTCACCTGAGAGAGCTGAACAGCAAAGTTCACAGCTATACTGTCCAAGACTTGCCATCTGCTATGAAGATGCACAAAGGATCCATGGCCAAGAGGTACTTAACCCCTGTCATGTAAATATCAATAAATAGATAAGCACACGCATGTCTGGTCAAACAAGAAGTTAAAGAAGCCAGCTGAGTTTTAACGACTACATCTTTCAGCCAGTCACATCTCTCCTGACAGAAGGATTAAAATCCTGAAGAGAAGGATTTGGGGGTGTTTATAGATGAGAAGCTCAGCATGAGCTGGCAGTGCGCTCATGCGGCCCAGAAGGCCAACTGCATCCTGGGATGTATCAAGAGAAGTGTGGTCAGCAGGTCAAGAGAGGTGATTCTCCCCCTCTACTCTGCTCTTGTGAGACCCCACCTCGAATACTGCGTCCAGTTCTGGTGTCCCCACCATAAGAGAGACATAAATTTGTTGGAGCGCGTTCAGAGGAGGGCCACAAAGATGATCCAGGGGCTGGAGCACCTCTGCTACGAGGACAGGTTGCGGGAGCTGGGATTGTTCAGCCTTGAAAAGAGAAGATTTTGGGGGGACCTAATAGCTGCCTTACAATACCTGAAGGGAACTTACAGGAAGGCTGGGGAGGGACTTTACAAGAGTGTCCACTGACAGGACAAGGGGAAATGGGTTTAAGTTGAAGGAGAACAGATTTAGATTAGATTTTAGGAAGAAATTCTTCAGTACGAGGGTGGTAAGACTTTGGAATAAACTGCGCAGAGAAGTTGTGGATGCCCCCTCCCCGGAGTGTTCAAGGCCGGGTTGGACGGAGCCGTGAGTAGCCTGGTCTAGTTGAGAGGCGTCCCTGCCCATGACAGGGAGGTTGGATTAGATGATCTCTGAGGTCCCTTCCAGCCTATGCCATTCTATGATAACCCCTCAGGTATCTGCTGGTCTGACTGTACTGAGGCATTTCTCAAAGCACTGGGACTGATGGATATGCCAAGGAACACCTCGAAGCAGAGACACATTCTTTGACACATCTAGGCCTGGGAGCATTTCAACTAACTGCAAAAAGCAAACAAGACACAAATATTTATGCTTCAAGGTGATCTCAGTATATCCGTGCATCAGTGCACTTTTGGAAAACGTGTCACATTAGACCAGAGATTTAATTCATTTGACATTAAGACATTAGAAATTATGAGCAACTGCCAACAGAGTTAAAGGTTTGGGGCTCTTCTTGTTCTTTTGTTTCCTATCTCCTTTTCATGTAAGAAAACTAAGATTACAGTTGTTTAAATCAGAGAAATTAAACAAAAATCCAATTCATAGTTCTCATAGGAATTACACTATGACACTGCAAATATGTGTTAAGACATAAGATTTAATTAAGAGCAAAATAACACGTGCTAAAGAGATAAAACTATAACAAATAACAGAAATGGTATCTGATTCCAATTGAGGACTGATTTTCTGATCAGTATATACTCACTGTCTTTGTACTCTTCTAAAGAAAGATTCATTTCAACAAATCTATCAATGACAGTATTAATTACTATAATTATTATTTTATTTAATAACAGCAGTTTTGTATCCCCTACATATTAAATCTGACTATGCACTCATTTCTTCTTCTGACTTGTGTTCTGAATGTCTTCTAAGAACAGTGTTCAAATATGCTGAAACATAACACAAAAAAAAAATTTAAAAATTGCTGAAACCAGGTAAAATAATTTCAAAATCATGGATTAAAAAGAAAAAAAAAAAATAGATGTAGAAGGCAGCAGATCCTGTCTGTGTGAACAATACAGAAATACAAAGTAAACAGTTGAAGGAAAGTGACTATATAAAAAGAAATCACTTTTTTTCATCTTCAGAAAGAGCTCAGCTACTAATTAAATTTTTATGCCAAGACTCATAAGAGAACAATTCTCTTCTTTTTTTTAAAGCATCACCAACGGGTGACTGGATACGAGATTTCACTAGCTTGAAGGCAATTCCCTCTGTACTCTATTAAACAATCATGAGGACATACTGGCTTTTAAGCTGCCTGACACTTAGTGATTTATGTTCCTTCATCCTAACCAAAAGTACAGTCTATTACTATTCATAAGCCAGCACAAGCTTCCTTAAATGACTAGATGTTATTAGAAATGAATATACTCCTTGGATAAAGAAAACTGGTTTCTGGACATTTTCTGTTATGGCTGAAAATACAAGCTTAATCATATAACATCCCCTGGCAGCAGGTGAGCAACTTGGGAAGCTTGACTTGTGTAAGTACACGAAATTTTAGTATTAGAATCATAGAATAGTTTGGGTTGGAAAAGACCATCAAAGGTCATCTAGCCCAACGCCCCTGCAATGAGAAGAGGCATCTTCAACTAGATCAGATTGCTCGGAGCCCCATCCAACCTGACCTTGAATATTTCCAGGCATGGGGCATCCATGACTTCCCGAGAAACACCATCTTCGGAGAGTAATGAGATGAAATCACACAGGAGAGGACATCGAGGCTTTCATCCTGGCAATCTTGGGGACCTAGATATGTGCTCCATGAGAAGTGTTCACAGCACACAGAGATTGCTTCCTGGGTTTGTGCATCAACTAAAGGATGCACAGGAAGATTTTGTTTGTGTTTTTTGGACAGTTGGCTTTTTTTTGGTCTTTTGCCATGTCTCTGAAGAATTTATCTTCTTCATAGATGCAGATAAGGATTATCCCAAGTAACAATTGACAATAACTACGAAAGAAGATAATTATATATGGCAAGAAAAACACCAGAAGAGAATGAATATAACTTGTGATTATGATACTCAGTCTTTCATACCAGGTATCTAATGATCATCCCTCCTCTTTTCTACACTTCATCTGTTGATGTGATCCCAAAATGGCTTTATATGAAATTCCTCATTAGAGCAAGTAATTAAGAGGTAGCAGGCATTCATAAAACTCTGTTATAAATCACCTCTGAGGGCTTGTGGAAAAAAAGTTCAGCTCTGACCACCGTTCCCTGACTGCAGAACTCTGTAACCAAACTCACCGCTGCCTCTCCCACAGAAACAGGTTAGCTGTGACTCTGCCATTGGAACTCCATTCTGCACTTTCTTACATGGGTGTTTTCTTGAGTATTTCCCAAACCAGGTCTCAAATCATAGAATTATCTGGTTGGAAGAGACCTTAAAGATCATCGAGTCCAACCATTCGCCCTGCACTGTCAGGGTCCCTAAACCATGTTCCTCAACACCAAATCCACACAGTTTTTAAACACCTCTAGGGATGGGGACTCCTCCACCTCCCCGGGCAGCCTGTTCCAATACTTCACAACCCTCTCCGTAAAGAAATTTTTCCTGATATCTGACCTAAATTTCCCCTGGTGTAACTTGCGGCCCTTCCCTCTCATCCTGTCATTCATAACGTGGGAGAAGAGACCGACCCCCATCTCCCTACAACTTCCTTTCAGGTAACTGTAGAGAGCGATAAAGTCCCCCCTGAGCCTCCTCTTCTCCAGACTAAACATTCCCAGCTCCCTCAGCTGCTCCTCATAGGACAAGTTCTCTAAACCCTTCACTAGTTTCTAGCAGTAAAAGCTTTTATCATGTACCCATCATGTTAAATTGTGCAATCTGTTGTCCTGACACTACAACCACATAGTTATAAGCAGCATCAGTAATGCTGAAGTTGGTAGGACTCTCTACAGGTTGGCCTAATTACAGGGTATATTTACACAACACAACTCTGTGAGACGTTCTCACGCAACAGATTCGCAGCCCCAACGTGATTTTGAATGAAGAGCCATAAAGTAGAACACATCATAGGGCACAGCAACTGTGGAGATAAGAAAATTGTATTGTGAAAGACAGAATTTGTTGTAGGGGTTTCCAAAAGTGACCTAGGCTAAGCAGAAAGAGCCTGCTGTTTACACTGGCTGGGTACGTTACATTGAACACTGCTTATTCACATCACCTTTGCTCACATTTGAATCCAAGACTCCAATTTATCCTTTCTGAAACAGACTAGTAATGGAAAAAGCGTTCGTGTCATGTTATTTGATATACCTGGAGAGCATAACTTATTTTCATGCCATGAGAAAACTTAGTCTTGTTTATTCCCTCTAGGTAGTATTAGGGGAAAAAAAACACCACACCACTTTTTAGCAGTTATTTTAGGAACTCCTGCAAAGACAGACAAAATATGAAAAGCTTGAAATGGTCTGTGGCTGGAATGCAAAATTAACAGAACTGAAGCAGATAGGACAGCAATGAGGCGCGATAAGAAACAATGCCTGTGGTTTATCACCATCATTCTGTTCACCACACGAATGCCAGAGGAGTTCAGTTTCTGAAATGCTGCTGTCTATGCGTATTATTGTGACGAGATAGCTTTGTGTTAGCTCAGAGGTTAGCATAAGGAAAGAGATCTGAGCCATTTAATTTCCAAAGTAATTTGGGAAATCCACAGTTCCTCAGCCATCAAGAGGGGAATTATGTGTTGGAGGACAAAAAAAAACCAACAAGGTCCAATTATTAATGATGAACTACAATTTCACCAAGGAAGAAACTGACATGAATTAAAACTATCACTTCAATAATATAAACCTTAGTTTTGATAGAAAGAGAAACTTTCCCTATAGTTAAGGCACAACACTGGGTATCAAAAGATTTGATGTTTTCTGCCACTGTTTGACAAGGCAGGATATGGCAATTCATTCCAGTAAGAAGTATCAGAATCAAAGCAAGACCTCTAACGCTGTAGCTTGCTCATTAACTGGACTAGTGTTCCCATATGCCAAGTACACCCTGCTGACAAGCATTCGAGTCGGAAAACAGCAGCTTTAACTTCTCCATAGAAATCAAAAGTAAAGAGTGAAATTCTAAAAGATATTAGAATTTATATTGCAATACATATCGATTGCATAAGAAGCATGTACAAGAGAACAGAAATTAAAGTTTGATTGGTCCTTCACGGGCTTGGATGGAAACATGTTATTAAAACCATCATCTTGTAACTGCACTAAACCCAATTTACTAAGTAATTTACATTCACACTAAGAGATATAGAGGCAGCTGTATCAATAAATTATTTCTACATTTTCAATAGCTAAAAACTTTTATTTCCCAATATAATGCCATGTAGTGTTATGGAGCTCTTCTAGCTGCTAAAAAGAAGAGCTAACACTGTCCCAGCTAAAACCAGGACAAGTGTATACACCTACCACTTCTGATTAACAATCTATAATCCTAATATGGAGCTTTATTGGGTTTGAGCGTCCTGCAGGATACAGAGTAGTCAATATTCACCAGGAACACCCCACAAAGATAATTCAGAAGCTGTTTTTATTGCTACAGAAACAAGAAGACCTGATGCCTCTCTCCATTTGCAGTAACCTTCTGTTTAGGTTTTAGGCAGGTATTTACAAAGACTGAGATGAGTACTGGCAGAAAGTAAACATTAAGAAAAATGCTGCAAGAGGTTTCCTTCTTTCAGTCCCTATTCAGTGCCCAACGCAGCTCTGGGAATAGCGCAAGTTGATAGTATTTTTAAAATATCTGTACTTTTGAGAAGCTAGAAACAAAGCCTTCATACCAATTCCTGGTAACATTTGATATTCTAATGTGAATGTATACAGCCTTCGCCACTTTTGGTTCTGTGGGTGCACTTTTATGTAGGGAGAAGCCAAAAGTCAACAGAATTAAATCCTGGGACTGATAAGGGCAAAGGCCAGGGGCAATATTTCTTTATTATTATTATTTATTTAATGTCACTGGCAAGTAGAGAACTAGTTCTCAGGGGTAGGTTTGGCTTCAGATGAGTCAGTATCACTTGATGTAAAATATTTCTGAATATTTTAAATTAGCTGCAATTGCAGTGTTACATTTAATTAGCACATATGCCCACATTAGCCCTTCAGATATATGAGAAATCATTTTGAATAAGAAGGGATTGAAAATAAATTCTGATGCAGTTTTAAAAATATACATATTACCATGGCTGTCAATATTTCCCAGATGCGCTCAAAGAAGAGAGTTTCCAGTATTTTTCTTCAGTCTTAGTAGCTGATTTCCCAGATTTGCCTCATATATCCACTGATTTTCAGGTATATGTTGAGGCATGACTTCTTCCAAAGATGACCGGCCACTCTCTTCCTTGCAGCTAGCATTGCACCCCACCAGGGTGAGCTGTACTGTTACTGGGCCAACAAAGCCAACCATGATGCGAGACAGATTCTTCAACCAGAACGTGTCTAACTGGATGATGGAGTCTGTGCCAGTCAGTGTCTGAGTGATCACTAAGCCACTGGACCCTTGTCTGATATGGTATCTGGGGCTGTATTTATCAAGGCTTCACCAGCTGTTCCTGAGATTAAGCTCAAGTCTGCCACAGCATGTGACTCGATCCGTACCCACCCTGAATATACACACAAACAGGAACAGGTTAAAACCAAACCCAGCCCCTCTGCTCAAATTTTCTCTTCCTTCTTTGGTCCAAATTCAAGAAACAATATGAATTAAATGAATCAGCAAGGAGGCAATGGCTGGGGAGTCTGGGCTCAGTTAAAAGCTCAGATCTTGAACTAACAACAATATAGATTCCCAACAGGAGTCCTGAGCTTATGAAATAATATATAAATGATATGTAAATGTTCTTAGAATACCTAATATGAACTAGTGAACCAGCAAACTTTTCACAATGCTGAAAAAAATAAAATAACTTGGAAGTTTTAAAACCTAGTGTTAGTTCCTTTAGCATCTAAATTATACCTCTACTGCTTTCTCAATCCCTGGCATTTGAACACTCTCTGGGTAAATGATTTCCTTCCTGTGACATTATTTCAGTCATACTAAACCTAGGAGGAAAGGGAAAGGATTATCTGAGCATGCATGAACAGCACAAGAACAAGCAATGAACATAGCCAGCCAGTTGTTCTTGTGCATCTGAAAGAATCCAAAAGGTTCCAATCCGCATATTCTCCTTGCTCATGGGCTGAGCACTCTGATTGCAAGTAGCACTAAATTTTGCTGAGCATCATTATTGCCAGTATGAAGTGACTGAATCCAGAAAACTCCCATTCAATGGGAATAAAAATGGGTATCCAGGCATTGAACTACTTAACTAGCTTAGATACAACCTTTTCACCACCATTTCTTCCCTACAGAAGCAGAATATTTGGAAATGAGCAGAGTGAAAGAAAGAGGGAGCAGTTGGTCATGCTGCATTGCAGCTTGGAACAGAAAGGCAGGAGACGAGCAACTATATTGAAACGGGGGGAAAAAAAAACTGCAAAATGAGTCAAATTGACATTTTTTGGCTTAGTTTACATTTTTAAATCTTTCTTTGACCTAATACTGAAAGTGATCTTTGCACCTTTTGCTTTGGGGTCAGCAGAACAGAAAATAAACCATTCTGAAACTAAAACATGTTTCTTTTGGCATTTAGCTGCTCCCGAGGTGAAAGTCAGTTTAGTTCTCGTGACCCCTACTCACACGGAGCAGTGGTGCACCTCAAGCACCAGGCGAGCAGGTCAGAGCTGCGACCTACGATGCCAACATGCCACCCTTAAGGCAATCCAGTCCAGCTGCACCGCCGCAACAGGATAATCAACACTGGTACTCTTACAGAAATAAGATACCAACAAAGTGAAAATTGTTGGCTACTTGTTTTCACTGCATTCTCTCTCATTGTAGTTAACACAACCAGAGCTAAGAGCCAAAACACATTCACAGCCCGTTTTTTTTCAGCCCAAAACCTCAGGAGCTGTAGGGAAGTGAGAGAGGGGAGAAATACGACGGCCCAATCTAGAAGGCTTGATCAAGAGTTTCTTTACGTAAAGCTAAAAACATTAATTTTCAATCAAGCAGGAACGTATCATTTTAACCCAAACTGAAATGAAGCGTTTTGTTTGGGCATCCATTAAACTCATTTTAATAAAAAATGAATTTTAAAATGCAAATTTTAAAATAAAGCACTTCAGTATTAATAGACACACTTTTCTGGCCAAGTTATTTACTAGATGTAATACAAATTTACAAGTTCTTTTGTTCCAGTTTTTCCTTCACAGTTGCTGTATGCAATGACTTCATTATTCTCTGGGAAAAAAAGAGACCTGCCTAATGACATTCGCAATCAAATCCAACTGTATTAAAATCACTCAATCCAAAAACACTTGTGTGAATAACTACATGTTCCAGAGTATTAACAATGGTTTAAAAAAATATATAAAAAAATATAAAGATATAGTAATGGGGAATAGGAACATCACTTTTAGTGCTCACTCAAGTCCAATAGCAATAGTTGCACTCCTGTAAAGCACCTTGGACACTAGATGAATGAAATTATTAACGACCTCTCTGTGGGCTAGGAGAGCACAGTCAGGCTATTAGATCTGTTCTCCCATTAGTGAAAATTGGCAGCTAATGAAAATATAACACTTTATATCAAATGAAACTCTCCTCTGTTGTTTTCGATTTGCAAGGCTTCACAACACTTGGCGGGGTGCCACAAATCCTTCAAAGCTGAAATAGTTCCAAGCTAACATTTGCACCTCCATTATAAATTCTAAAGTAGTAGCAAAACTTTTCACTCAAAATAGAGTAAAATGCTGAACTGCAAAACTGCAGAGTGAAACATTTCACCTAATCTCAGATTTCATTCTCCGCACAAACTCATCAATGCGGAATATTTAGAATATGGTCTCTGGCATGGCACTGCCCTCCAGCCAGAAGGGATCATCAGCTTCTGCTCAGTCTTTGCTAAAGTATTCTCCAAGTAAATTCAAATTGGTAATGCTGTTTTCTTTTCTGCCCATCAACATGAGCCAAAAATCTCTTCTAAGAAATTTTGCTTTAATGTCTTTCAGCTTTTCCCCGTGCACAGGGACACTCTCAAGCAGTATAAACCTCAGTCTACTAAATTGATTCGTGCCAGCTTACAAGGCCACCTAGTCTGTCTCCTCACAGCCATGCAGCAAAGCAAAACTTCATGTAAAATACTCCCAAGATATTATAGTGGAATTTGCTTTTTAAAGTTCCCATTGGTGGAGATTCTACATATGCCTCAGGCAATCTATCACAGCACTCAAAAGTCCTTACAATCACGTTGTATTTCCCCACACTCAGCCTAAGTTTCCCTTGCTATAAGTTTAAAAAAATCTTCCCATTCTGTACAATTCCCAAAGGACACGAAGAGCAGTTTGCCTCTTTCATACATCTGTACAGCAGCTGCTTACATGTGAAGATTACTGCCGCGTCTCCTCAAATTTCTAGATTAAACGGCTCAATTATTTCTATCTTTTCTCAGAAAAGGTGTTTTCCATGCCCCTCTTACCATCTTTCTCACTGCTCCCCAATTCTCTGAAATTCACCTGCGTAAGTAATCTTAATCAGCTACTTACTGTGAAAACACCAACTGTAAATCCTGTTACTCTAGCCTACAGCAAAACAATTCCCACTTAATGCATTTTATCTGTGAGCAATTTTAATTAAAATTCAGTGGTAGTTTAACAAGGAAAATATTTAGCCATTTGGATAGCGAAAGCTAGAAGTGTTCTGTAAAGCAGAGAAATAGACAAATGCAATACACAGTGACTGTAGCAGTCTGATTTACTACAAATAAACATTCCCAGTTTTCTGCAGAATTAGACAGATCAGTCACAAAGTTCCTTGCATTGCAATGACTTGTGATCCAATGACCACAAATCTATGAAATATCACCCAGCTAACAGAGACACTTGGAACTTGGCGTTCCACTGAGCTCAAGCTTCTCTTTCCATTGTTTTCATATTTTATTTATTGAAACTAGGGTAGGCAAGGGATAACCACAAATGGAAAGTACCTTAAAACCCATATAGTTATGAGAAGCTTAGTTCAAGCGCCACATCTGATGACAACTTTGTCTCTTCTACAGAGACAACCTAATTGGATTATCTGTAAAGCAGTTATTCTGATTCAGAGACCAGTGAAGCTTTCCTTAATCATGCAAGTGTAAGTCCCACTAACAACCATCAGAATCACAACCAATACTTTAACCAGGGACATACGCATTGTCTTCAGCTTTCTCTCTTCGCCCACTACTAATCCTTGCCAATGTCGATGCAGCACTCAAACATCCCCTGCTCAATATCAGTACTGTGCTCACTACAGAGAAAAAGTTACAAGACACATTAAATGTAATCCTTAATCCACTTTTAGCATCAATAATTCTGCCAACCATTTCCAAGTACTCACTTTTCAAAGTCACCAACGGATTGAGAGACCATAAAGATCTTGGTTTACTGTGCCAGTACGAGTGCATTCTCAGCAATACGACTGTACTTTTTATTAAAGTCTTTGCCATAAGAAACACAGTTGTGCCACAGCTTGACTGTGCTTAGATCAAAGTACAAAAATCAATTTTTTTTAAAAGAAAAAATTCCCTTATAGAAACCTTGTCAGTTTTAGTAGCATTCTCGCTATAAAACATCCTCAGTCAGGCTGAGAGCAATTAAATACAAAGTGCCAGAGTCAGTGAGTAAATGAGATTAAACAAGAAGAGACACAAAATCACCATTTACTCCTCGAAACTCTGGAGCAGATGCTTTGGCACCTACTATCATGTCCTTTTTTTAGCATGTATTCAGCTGCGAGTTTAGCCATGGACATCGACTGTAAATCCCATCCTATTAACAGGACAGTTAGAATTCCTACCATTAAATCCCCTTTTTTCCCTACCCTGGGACTTAGGGAAGTCAAATGAAACAAACTTAGTTCCAGTGATACAACAGTCTATAAAACAGTATCTTTCACACAGACCAAAGTCTGCACAAAAAGACACTTTCTCCTGAGTATCTGTTATCAAAGTCAGTAAAATCCTACCCTAGTTTCAATAAATAAAATATGAAAACAATGGAAAGAGAAGCTTGAGCTCAGTGGAACGCCAAGTTCCAAGTGTCTCTGTTAGCTGGGTGATATTTCATAGATATTACGACAGTCACACGGTTGTTTTGTTGGGTGCTTCATATTACACCAGGTATAATAGGTATTTATGGCCTTTTGTTTTTGCAGTAACGTCTCAAGGACACAGAGCTGAGCAAAGTCAGAATTCGGGTTACTTTGAGATATATCAGCTGCACTCAGTAAGTTATAGAAGCTCCATGGCATTCTAATTCTTCCATCACTTCAAAGGAGTAACAGACTTGGCTGAGCACTGGAACAAGTCCTTTGCTTGCCACTGGAGCTCCATATGCAGCCTTTGATATATGTTCTGAGATCCTGAGCACCAGAGAGGCTAAGGTCTTTTTTATAGCAGGTCTTTCCTTTAACTGTGCATTAACCCTACTCAGTCAACTAGACTTCAATATGGGTCACTAAATTAAATCTTTCCCTCATTTTAAGTATCATCTAAATTATGGTTTACCATACGGTACCTATTTTTAAACAGGTTAGTAATCAAACCTGTTGATGTTCTCACTTCTTATGATTACCATTTGTGAAATTAACACTGAAAAATCTCCAAGCATATTCAACGTTCAATGGGTTTGGCTACTGTCCACATACCTCACAACAAAGAAATTATCAACTAAATTAACAAAAGGTGAGAAAAATAAGTGTTCCTCTCCTTTTCTTGTTAAGAAATTAGGGTACAGAGAAATGAAGTCCGAGACTTTTAAGATCAGAAGCCAAAAATCAGGTTCCAAACAAAGTCAGAAATATAGGATACCCAAACCAAGAATGTACGACACAAAAAGACTAGGAAGCTCATGCGGCCAAATACCTACTTCACTTTAAAACATTCAGCTATAGACCCTAGTCTTAAAACATGCTTTGAAATCTTGGTCCAACTGATTTGTGTAAATTGGCAGCATTTGTGACAGCATGAGGAAATAAATCTTTATGTCTCAGGCTGGTGATTTCTTCTCAATACGATTTTGCTTACATTACCTACACATCTCCGACTGCTCATGATTCTCATCCCAGTCTATCCTCCAAAATCTGATAGATATGACAGAGAAAAGGCAAGCACAAACTGTGATTAAAGACTAAACTGGAACTGCAACATTATGGAATATCTTCAGCTAATTGGTTTTCTGTCTGTGCTAACAAGACAATACATAGTTATCATTTATGAAGGCAACATATGCAGAATATCCCGAAGACCACCACCTATGACAAAGAAAGCTACTTGAAAGAGCTCTCCACACTAAATCATTTCATGTACATTCATAATTCGATTAAAATCTTAATATTGTAAACTTGTAAGAAACCCAACATGCACAGAATCAGCTTTTATTTACTTAGACCAGAGTCTGAACACGGCACACACACAAAATACGTCAGCATTAGTCAATACTGTCCACTCACATGTGTGTAACATGTACACGTATGTGAGCCTGCAGATAAACATTTATCCTCAAGGGAGGCTGCTAACGAGACTGTGCTGTAGGGAAGATATCCAATTACTCTGAATGACATTTATATTTTAATCACATCACACTCACTGAAGAGCTCAAGGTTTGATGAAGCAATCCTTGAAAGGCTGTCTTTTTAATCAATTAGACAGCTCTAGGAACATCAGCGATATGCTGTTGACAAGTCATTCGGCTAAATATACTACAACACACGCAAATTCTTCTGTCTTCCTACCAAGACAATGATGTGGTCTTCTAAAACTTCTGAAACAGATGAAAAAGTTCTCCTGGTAGGAGACACCTAAAACAGAAGAACATGTATTTTGCCAAGAAACTAAGACATCCCTACTGGCAATTACAGGCTCCCTCTGAGCTACCACTCAATGAATTCTTCTGAGGACAGGTGAAGAACAGTGTTTTAAGGGCATCGCTCCTGTATTAAAGTATCAGACTTGCTCATGAATCTTTTTACAATTGGCTTATTGTATGTTTTACTTGGCTTTATTCAATAAAACCAAGTCGATCAAAATAATTTGCTTTTATCAAGCCTTCAGTAAGTGACAAATGCCACTTTCCAGAGGGAGCAGATGAAAGACTGGCCATGTTTAACATGGTTTAGAATCATAGAATGGTTTAGCATGAATCAGGCATCTAAAGACACTCCAGGTCATAGGAATAAGCGCAAAATGAAGAAGAGAGACACAAGACAGTAATTCAGTCATTCTTCAAATTAGCATTTGAGTTTTTCTAGAAACAAAGTACATGCACACAGTTGTTATACTAAACAATAAACCATTTCTACTTTTGAGACCTTACATGAATAATTTCACTTTAAAAAAAATCCCGTTCTGTACTCATAGATATTTCCTAATAAATAAAAAACTAAACAAAAATATGAAGTAAGAATTGATTAAAGTCAAGCTTTAATTGAAAAATATCTGAAACTGCATAATGTAGTAACAATGTAAGGGTCAAACTATAGCACGAGAATTTTCTTTGCCTTTCAAGTACCAAACCATCTATGGTCTTTGGGATCAGTTCAGCCCAGTCAAAAGGGGTAAGGTTAAATATTTTGAAAACTAAAAATGAATTTGTTAATGTCAAGGAACTGGGAAAAACTGTAGGGCAGAACAGAAATACCACTATCCTCCTTACGGTTTGTAACTTGTGGCTTGAGAGCTATTTTGCTGAAGGTACCCACAGAGCATCTATTTACCTTCCCAGTAAAGCATGCATCCAGCATGTTTTTGACTGCAAACAGTTGTGTTTGGGTTTTGGTTTGGTTGTTGTTGGTTTTTAACTCCTGTTTCTGAACTACAGGCAGCTGTAGTTCTTCTAATAAATCTCTCCTAACTAATCCTTCCTTCAATAGTAAATCCTGAGGGCTAAAATGCCTTTGAGCATAGATCTTTGTAAATGCACAGAAGCTCGAGTTAAGCACTTAATTCCAATACCTAAACCCATTTTTAATTGCTAAGCCAACACTTAGCAATTGCTGAGAACACAACAGCTAGAACTGAGTCAGTTGCTATCATTATCCTCACTGATTGTCTGTCAAACTCATCCAAACCAATACACAACTATCAAAAATGTGTATTGCAGGGAATGGTGTACATTCGCACGACAGAAAAGAAGTCAAACAACAAGTATAGATTTTTGCCTTTGGCGGAATGACTAAAGTTGGTAATTATGGCAAGCGGGGAGAAAAGGTTGCCAGTCTTAAGTATAGAAAATATGGCTGTCGTTGCTGTAAAACACATTCGAACTGGCAATACATTCAATTTCAGCAATCATCGACATAAGTTTTCACACCTCCATTTTTATGAAATGACATTTATCACCAAGCAAAACTACAACACGGAATATGCACCTTTTTCTTTTGCATTTCGTGATACAAAAGATGCCAGTATATTACTCTGAGTTATATTAATCAGTAGGTTGAAGCTAAAAAGACATCTGGGAGGCACAGATGGTGCACGATTGGCAAATAACTATGGAACCATTAGCTTCAAGGTCAGATTTCTAACACTACAAAGGTTGGTAGTGACCCAAAATCACCAACACCTTTTCAGGATGAACTAATTCTCTTCAGTCCAGTACCTGGTGGATAAATATCTATGTCGCAGCTGGCATTCACAACGGAGGCTATCTCAGACCTAGCCTCAACTCATTGATGTGAACGGCATTCCTTTCCAAGGGAGGTGGGAACCTTACACAAGCCTTCTCGTTCCTAGAAATAGCTTCTGCAGTAGAGCTTACATTGCTGCTGCCTCAATTCCAGTCTCAGGGCTTCCAAATTCACCAGTAATTGGTCATACTTGAAGAGATATTTCAATGAACTCAACGCTCCATAAAAATCCTTGCTCTGGCTGTCTACAAAACCACAGAATACACAGTATTTAAACTTCTATAACACAAAAGTTCCAAAATATGAGTTCCAAACTGCCTCTTTGGGAAAAACTGAGACAAATACTGAATATTGTTTCAATAGATTACTCTGCTGTTAAGATTAGCAGAATATAAAAGCCCTTCTTCTGGGCAAACTGGAGATTATATTTTTGCAGCCATTACAAAGTGCAGTTCTTCACAAGACTAAACACCAACCTGGATGTGAATTTAGAACACTACATGTTCAGCACTTCTAGATGTCAATGAATGCTCCAGACGACCTCTTACAACATCAGAATTACTCTCCAGAATTCCATGAAGGAAGAAGCTGAGCTATGTGAAAACGTAAAAAGTGCTTGTGTAGTCATTTGCCATTACAGTGGCTCTACCAAAAGTATTTCCCTTAACCACCTCTCAGTTGATTTTAGAGCAATAGTACAAAGAACAGTGAAAATTACAGAATGTTTAAGAGAAGAAATGAGGACAGAAGATAAGCACAACCTAGAGATTACTACTTATAATGGGGCATGACTTACATATCATGGGAATAAGCTATATGAAGACATCTCTTAAGGGATAGTGTAAATGATGAATTAGACATACAGTTATGATAAAGGGAAAGCTTCTGAGGCAGCATCAGTTTCCAAGGTCTTTGCTCACCCTGTAGCTCCATATATTCCAGAAAAGAGTTCTGTTGAAAGGAACAGGTCTACTTTGAAAGCAAAATGCAACTGAACTGAAAGGGATCAAAGGTACCTTGCAGGTTTTTGAAGGTATCAAAGTTTATCCTAAAAGGAAGAGAAAGACACTTACCAAACATGTTGCAAATCAAAAGACTTGTACCAATGTTCGAGAGAAACAAGCAGTGAGGAAAAACTCAAATACCAGTAAATTGGGCAAGTTATTCATTAACCATGAGAGCTTCGGAAAGCGATCGCATCAAAGCATTCCAGTATCACCAGCTGTGAGTCAGTATCACAGTTTAAGAGATGCCCTATGCTACTGCCAGCACCTGTGACCTACCCAACAGGAGCCATGGCTAAGTAGACAAATAAGCAACCAGCAGCAGAATCTGATCTCGTTTCTCTGATACTTCAGAGATCACAAAGATTGAGGCTATTCACCCTTAAGCTTTAAGCAACTGAAACGCAAACTTATACGAAGACCGTAACTTTTCATTGTTCAAATCCATGAGAACACAAACCGCCAGAAAGAAGAAACGGGCTCAGCCCTGAGAAGAAAGGGGGAAGCCCACCTGAAGTATACAGCACAAAACAACACGCAACTGCTTTCTCCTAAAGGAGGCACAGAGCGCTCCTGCAGCGACAGCTGCGCATCTTTCAGCGACCACATCCTCACGACTTCCCTTCCTACGCACCAGCGTGCATTTACGCACCTCAACCACGGCTACAGCACGCTGGAGCTCCTTTTTCCAGCCCCCGGCACCGGCGCCGGAGCGCTCCCGCACGGGGTGCCCGCCCCGGCGCTCGCCCGCTGCGGGTCCCTCCGCTGCCAGCCCGGTGCCGAGGGGCGCTTGCAGCCTCGGTAGATGGGACCTTCCAGCAAAAACTATAATCGTCCGAATGAAAACAGAAGCAGGGTTCGGTTGTTGGGTTGGTTGGTTTTTGGTTGTTGGTTTGGTTTTTTTGGTTTTTT